ATGGATATGTAATAATCAGTTGAAAAATAATTGATGAGCATTTGAGTACTAAAGAGTGTACACATTTTGTTATTGGGTTACTTCATAATTATATCATATGTATGATCTACGTAATAAAACGTGACTAATAAATAATAAGAAATGTAACAGCTGTGCATTTATAACATTTGATTACTTAAAACAGTGCACAACTGATTATCCCCTTCATGTCTGTTTACATAATGAATTGTACTTTCCAGTGAAGTGCCTGCTAGTGGCCGAAGCGTCGTTGAACACTGGTAGTTCTGTCTCACGTTAGAATGCCGCGAACGGGCTGGCAACATGGGCGTTTTCTTGGTTTTACACATTTGTAACTGGTATACGAGCCAGTTTTAAAAAAACCTTCTACAAAGGATCCCTCCTGTTAGGCACATATCCCTCGAGGCTTTGCCGTAATCACATAAAACAAACTCATGATGTGCACTACCTAATTTCTAGAGTTGGTATAATTAGTGTGTTTTAGGTATATTACCGAGTGTTCTATGGGACAGTAAACAACTCGTACATGTTTGATTGCTCACGCATTCATATGCTTTATTTGATCTTCATTTTGCTGAATAGTATCTGCTGGCTGTGAGGATGTAAATATCAGCCATATAGATTTTTGGTCACAGAAGGTTTTTTTTTTTTTTTTTTTCTGCCTGTTTGTTTGAATGGACAGAACAGTAATTATGAGCCATAAAGTTAGTCAAGAAAATGCTTTCACCGGGTCACAAATTTTCCATTGGAAGGCAGACATATATCAAATTTTCATTGGAAGGCAGACAACAGAAAATACACATAAGTAAATGTCGGTGTTACTTTGGTAGACGGTTGCACGGATTTTTGGCGATTTACTTTGGCGCAATATTGTTGGCGCGATTTTTACAATCGTCAGCCATCTTGAAAAACGCTGTTTTTACGCATAGTAAAGTATTCGAAACTTAAAAAAAAAAAAAAAAAAAAAAAAAAAAAAAAAAAAATATCGTTAAAAGTAATGGATTAATTTTTTGTTGAAAATGTCTTTTTTTAAGACGGCAGGCAAGTGTAAATAAATACATTTACTATGAGTATAAAATACTAAAGTAAGGCTATTATTACTTTCATATAGCAAAAAAGAGAATAAAAACGCCGCTATAAAAACATTGTGCCAACGTTTAATTAGATTAAAACATTACTGAAATTGAATATCGAATTAAAAACCATCCTACCAACATTTAAAAGAATTAGAATATTATTAAATTCAAATACTTTAAAATACGTTATATAAAATATAATTAACATTAAAACATATGTGACAATAATTATCTCAGCAATTTTTGAAAATAGTGTATTAATTTTTTTAACAAAAATTGAAGTATACAATATATAAAATAAAAGAAAAATATGTACTTACATTTTTTTTGAGTAATTTTAACCTCTTGTTTATTGATAAGTACCACAAAAAAAAAATCGAAATCATAATTGAATCGGCTCTTTTAACCATCTTCATTCTGTTATCCACATATCTCTCGCACTTCATTGAAGAAGCAATTAGCGAAATTTCCTCCAAAAATTTAAAATAAATTTCCTCTGACGCTATTAACAATTTAAAAATAAATCTTTGATTAGGAAAGACAAATTGGCCAAAATAAGGTCTCAAAGAGCAATTTTTTGATTCCAATACCAATAATTCTTGGTAATTACCAATAACAACATTGTTCTTCGAAACGGAGATATCCATTTCATTTGAAATCTGAGGAATTCGAAGAGATAATAATCATTCATAATAAAATCATTTTTAAAACAAATGCAAAATTAAATTGTATTTTAATATTTAACAGACATAAATAATGTTTAAAGCATTATATCAAATTTATAGATATTAATAAAACCAATTACTTTTTTGAGTAAGGTGACGTCATTGATTACATCATCCACAACATAAAATTATATAAAATATTATAAACACAAAATTTTTATTTCAAATAAAAATGTAAAATTAAATTGATTTTTAATATTTAGAAGCCATAAATAATATTTAAAACACGGAAGTTATGCATAATAAAACGCATTATTTTTTTAATAAAATGACAACAAAGTATCGGTTACCATAAATAACTTATCCAGCAATGGGTTTACCATAAGTTGTATTACTCGCCAAAAGAAAAATCGCCAAAATCCGTGCAACCGTCTGCCAAAGTAGCATCTCATTCAGTCGTTCTCGTCTTTAAATTAAATCTGACTCCATTCTATAATACTTGAAAAGAAATATTTTAAATAAGCAATTGCATTTTCTTGCTTAAGAAAGCCAAACTTTTTATTTGCTTACACAGTTAAGGAAATCAAAACATTATTCTAATCTTTCTTACTGTTGCCAAATTAAGAAAACAAAACTCCGTCTAAAAAGGAACACAATAGCTGTTGAATATGGCTAAAAAATATTAATCGGAGAGCTCACAACAGGGCTTATCCTCTATTTATTTTAAGTGACTGAATTTTCTAAATCCGAAAATAACACAAATTATTTTATGGGCTGCTGCGCCGGCGGTACTGCATTAGCAATTAGTCGGCTAACACAAAGCATGCCGTCCGAAAACTTCAAGAATAAATTCAAAATTTTAAGACTAGAGCACAAAATGGAGAATTTCCACCAATGCTCAAAAGTCACAGTTTTTGAGTATTCTTAAAAAGTGCATGAAAAGATTACCGAAGAAAATTTTTTTTTTCAATGAAGTCATTCCAAAAGTACGTAAAGCTGAATTCCTTGGTGTTTATCTTAATAACAAATTTCATTGAAAAAATCGTATTGATAACATTAGGAACCAATTCACCAATGCCATTAACTGCCTGTTTCCCATTATTTGTAAATACTCAAAATTAAATTTGAGAAAGAAACGCTTGATTTATGTCTCCATAGTATGGCCAATTCTCGCAAATGCATCAACAACTTTGACAATTATTACCAAAAATAATTTAGTCAAACTTCGACAGATACAAAGCAAATATCTTCGTATAAACGGCACTTTCATATTTATTGTTATAAATTCTCATATTTATTGTTATTTTAAAGTGTTGTTATTGTAAATTATTGTTAATTATTATTGTTATTATTCTAAATTATTGTTATTGTAAATTATGTCATATTTATTGTTATTAAATATGTATTCTCATATTTATTGTTATAAATGCGCATTTATACGTGTGTAATCAAAGACTTTACGAAGACCTAAAAATTAAAAAAATTGACAAGTTTCTTAATAAAAACGTTTACAAGAAACCTAATACCTGGTATCATCTGAGAAATTTAAAGTTGTTTGAAGGAGAAATATCCGAAAGACAAAGAATTGCATCCTTACGCAGCCCACCTAAGTGACTTAAATTTCCCTCGTAATGCATTCCTGTAATTGCATATATTGTACATCATTTATATTTTGTATTTTACTTCAAAATTTTGCTGTTACATATTGTGTATCATATTCCTCATATTCTGCAAACTTATTAGGAATTAACTCTCCAATTATGTCTCTAACTGAAGACTTTGTATGGCTGTAAAAGCCTGAAGGTAAAGTATTCTTCTAATTTCTAATCTTTGTCAATTTTCTTCTTGGGAACTTATAGTTAATGTTCTCCACATGTGAAGCGCCTTTAAAGCACCCATTTATAAAGAGGGATTCACATGCAAATCTTGCGCTATCGCAGCATAATGCGTTCGATTCGATTCGATTGTTGTAGCTGTATTGCTTTTTGATGATACAATTTGTTTTTGAAACTTGTTTTTATTCTGTTAATAATCCCTGCGGTCGTTTTGTGCAAGTAACTATTTAAAAGCTATGACGCTGGTCTGTAATTTAGGATTATTTCATATATTACTGGAAGTGTGATTTATTTATTACTTTTTGTGTTTTATTGAAAAGCTAGAAATCTCGGCAAATTTTTCTTAGCTTTTAGCTCTACAAAAACATTGTGAAAACTTTCATGACCTATGTCTTATATAGCTGAAGATTTTCAATTCAATTCTTCTCAAGAAACTGTTGTTTTGGGATAAAACATTAAAATCGAGAGAGGAACTTTTATAATAAGCGTAACAAAAGGACGTAAGAACTAAAAATCTTCCAAGAAGAGCCTATTATTATCAACTAGTTTAAATGTTTACACGGAAGCCAGGATCAAATCAATATTTCTGAAATAAAAGTCTGTAAAACGTTTTTAATAATTCAAATAATATCCAAAGGCCAAAAGCCATCTGAAACAATGAAATAATTTTATAATATACGTATGTATATATATGTATTGTAGCAGATTATTATTGTGTACTCTTCTGAATTATCCGAATATTATGTTTTTCAGGCCGTATTTGATTTGTAATTACCCTATTATTGTTTAGTTACCAGTTTGTTGTGGCTGCAAGTTAATTATTTCGTTTCCTCAAACCTTATATGCCTCTTAACATAAAATATTTATGGTTTGATTTATTAGATTGCGGTAAAGCAGTCGAGAATTATTTGCCTTGGGGGAGTGATGCCTTTGTGGAGGAAGTTTTAAGGCAACTGGCTCGTGTTAACCATGGGGAAAAATTCTAAAACACTCATGTAGCCAGCCTGTTCGCCAGGATTCGAACCCTTCAGCCCTGGACCAAACTACCTGTGTTTAGTAACATAAAATGTTACCCTGCATTAATATGAAAAACAAAAATCTACCCCGCATGTTTGAAGGATTAAGCATATTTAAAACGAGATACTACTTCCTTTCTCTATTTATTTCCTGATCGAACATAAGTAAGAAATTTAAAATAATGTTTTTGGAAATTCGTCACTGCATTCGTCTTACTTCTTTCAGTATTTGTTTCATTATTTGATCGTGCATAAATAATACAATGTTAAGGTACTTTTGTTGCTTAAATTTAAATTATCGTTTTTCTGTATTTTATGAAACCGATAGACAGCTAAATTTTTGTTTTTTATATTTGGTGATGAAGTTAGAATTTTGCAGATGTCGCTGCTGTCTTCCGTTTACCGGCGTTCGATTTTTGAATAACGTATACTATTTTCTTAAATAAAATAATAATTAAAAAAAATTGTTAATTATTTCCATCTTTTAAAAGTTAGAAATCTCTACGGAGTTTGTGGTATCACAGTGATCTTTTTCTGTTTTTGGCACTATATTCGGCCAACAACAACCAACTCACCCTTTGTTAGAGAGTGTTGCTTCAACAACGTTGATTGTGCACGCGCCATTTTCATTGAGTTTAAAACAAAGCTTAAGTCGTTGATTCTTTGTTTATTTTCACTCTAAACAAATATGAGTTCTCCAGCAAATGCCACTGACGTTGAGAGGAACGCCGTCGATAAAGAAAAAGGAGCAGGAGATAAATCAGAATCCCTCAAAAGACCGGCATCAGATGTAAGTGTATTCCTGTATGTAATACTGTATATTAGTGCTAGTTTCGGCGGGCTCCATAGTTAAGCGGCGAAATTACTTTTTTTGTTTTACCCTGTTTGAAAGTAATAAAGTTTAGAGTTTTGAGTAGAATTTAGCATTTCACAACTATATGATCATTAAAATGTTATTTTTAATACTGTAAATTCGCCTTTTATGTGTATTTGAAAAGAATTTATGAAACGACCTTTTGTTCTTTTCTTATTCTTGATGAAACAATTATGTTACTTTTACGTAAAGAAAATTTTAATCCGCTGTATTTTATAACATTGCATTTATGAATTGTCTTTGAACTTTGAAGATAAATAACTGTCATTTGTATTCATTAAAGTATACACCGATTGCTTTCTTTTAAGCTGCTAAGTTTCAGCGTGGTCGAGAATCATTGATATCTGTGAATTGATTTTTAAAAAGAACATATATTATGTTTCACCACTAATTCACGATTATTTTCTATACTGTGGTGAGATATTTTTGAGTGTCTTTAAATGCAATGAGAATATAAAAATCGCATTTTCAAGAATTTTTTAGTTGGAGGACTGTTTCAGTATTGCTGTATGAGAACATAGTTTAACTTAATACCTGTACTGTAAAGCGGTTTTGTAAAAACATCCAAGTTTACAAATTACAAGTTTTTGTTGATATATTTCTTACATTAATCTTATTGTGTCTGTATTTTAATTTCATTTCAAAAATTAGTTTTTACATGTAACGAATACAAGTGATGAAGAGCTACTAACTTTTGTAATTAATTGGAAAATACTGATAAAATACTACTGTTAAGTAAAAAGTGTTCTTCATATTACCTGTAACTTCGTTTTCTAGTTTTATGTGATAAGAATATAGAATGCAGAGTGTGATAAGAAGAATAATTTAAGAATACAGTGTATGATAATCAAAAACTATTTGAATGAGGCTCCAAATTGAAATGTTTATATTACATTGGTTAAAAATTATCTTTGAGCATTAATCTGAAAACTTTACAATTTTTTTTAAAGAAAAATATATAATAAGTTTCAAAGCTATGAAGGAACATTGAGAACAATCTGTTTGTAAAATTTATTATAAAATATATTCTAAAATAATTTTATGAAATAAAATTCTCCAACCTATTACCTAAAAATTACTTTCTTATGGCATAAAAACAGCTGTTTATACATAATGGTAAGGTGGTAAAAATTAAATATCTTTAAGATAAGCAAATGCTTACAAAACAAGCATAATTTAAAGTGATGCATTTAAAAGTTGCAGTATTTAACATTCAAGTATTTTAAAAAATATCATTAGCCAAATTGTTACACCATTTTCTTTATTAAAATTATTATTATTATTTATTAAAAAAAGAAGTTGACTGGACATCAAAATTTCTGGTTGTGGATAGTTAGCCCACAGGACCTTTAATCAACATGGACATTTATCCAACAGCATGTTTAGCTGATACTGTGTATAGACAAACAAAACAAAACAGCAACAGTGTTTCATTAAAATTTGTTCATATTTATTCGGAAGAAAAGGCTGTTTCTAGGGTATCCAACGAAATTGTCTATGAATAAATACCATATTTGTTTACTTAATTGAGTATTTAAGAAATTGTAGATTATAAAATTAGACACACAAAACAACCTTATTTTGGCATAGATTTTGAAATCATGTTTTAGAGTAATCAGATATAGGTCTCTATTAGAAAAGAAAATTTCAGCAGTTGGAAGAACGAAATGATTTTATATGGAATGAGCGGAGCAAAGCAAAAACAAATGAAACGTAAATTGGATTTCTTTGAACCTTTTCACATTAACGATTTTTTCTTTTTTTTTTAGTTAGTGACATGAATTTTTCAACACTTTTAAAATTCCAATATCTTAGCTTTTGACGTTTCAGTATTATTTTCCATGAATGATCACATTACATTTGTTTTCTATGGCTTATGGAGGTGAAACTTTGTCTCATGCACATGTGTTGGAATGGCATATGAGGTTTTCAGGGAAAAGGACAAAACATGCATGTCAAAATCAAAATTCAAGGCAATGTTATCTTCTTTGACATTAATGGACTAATGATTGAGTGGGTTCCCAGTGGTCAGACTGTTACGGAACACTACTACACTGAAGTACTAAAAAGAGTTCATGAAACAATTAGGGGTTAATCTTTGGATTATGGTAACTCGGCAAAAATTTGGTCACCAACCCTGCTACAGCAACCTACTAGTTTTTGTTTGGACGCTATTTTGTTTTCACGAAGTAAAGGCATGTTTTTTTTTACTCAACATTTCCAACAATCTGCTAGCCAAATTACGCTTATGCTAGAACTTTTATGGAATAAAAGTGCTTAATCGTGACGAAGATTAGGTGCGAAATTATGACAAAGTGCAGAATCGCCCACTACTTGCCGCGTTTTACGAATTGCACATACACAGTATCGTCCATGTACACGTCGACCTATTTTCACTTTAAAAAAAATCCCAGAATTGCACAAAAATGGCATTGCGCACACTCTTGACTATATCCATGTACACTGCTAGCTATATCCAAGTCCTAGCTAGTAACCTTTATCGCCTTACCAAAATGTCGCCAACCAAACTACCTGTTACCATATTCCAAAGATTAGCCCAATTAGGGAAGAAAAGGCCACAGTTGTGGAGTGATGGATGGCTGTTGCACCAGGACCAATGCACCCACTCAAACGGCCCTATCTGTCAAGCAATTTCTGCCCAGCAAAAACATTACTGTGGTGGGGCATCCGCCTGATTCACCTGATTTGCCTCCATGCAACATTTTTTTATTTCCTAAATTTAAATCTTTCTTAGAAGAAAGACATTTTATTTCAGTTGAAGAGGTTCAGGCAAAATCGGAGAATCTCCTGAAGGGCCTTCCAAAAAACTCGTTCCAGAACTGTTACCAGCAATGGCAGCACCGAATGCTGAAGGGGACTAACTACTTTGAAGATGATAATGTCACGGAGAACTGATTTCTTAAGTACAATGATTTATTGGACCGGTCTTCTTCTCCCCCCTTTTTTTTTTTCGTTGTCACATATTGTATAGAGGTTGTCAGAGTTAAGATGATGTGGATAGCCCTAATGTTTCATTAACAGAAAGACTGTGGAATGATCTTGCTGAAGAATTTATGGTAGGGGAGAATGGAAGAATGTAATGTTTGTTCTTTCTGAAATGGAGATCTTATTGCAGAAGGAAATATTTCTGCGATGAAGAAAAGAGAAACTAGTTTGTAAGACAATGAGAACTTACTGTGTTCAATATATGTAGATCTGAAACACTGAATTTTCTTGGATGATGAACAAATTAAAAAGGCAAAGAAACTCATCTATGAACTTTCACTAAGAATGAAATTATTCTCAAAACAATTGGAGTATTCAAATCAGGACAGTTTAAACTGCAGACATTGCAACCGATTTTCTATCATCCTCCTCCAGTGATGAATTAGATTTTGAAAACTATTTGGATGATATTGAAAAGGCTAGGGCAAAGCAAATGAAAATAAAGAACCAAAAGTATTAGATATAAAAACAAAAAAATACAAACTAGATTTCTACACAGCCTTTGAAGAAATAGAGAAATAGGATTGCTCTTGCAAGACACTTCTTTTAGAACTTATAAAAATCTGTCCAGAAAAGTTAAAAGAAGTAGCCCTAACAGTAACAGCTAATCTTCCTACGCACGTTAGTAAGGAAAGATTCTAGCTCTGAAGTTTATCAAATCAGATCTATGGTCTTCTAACAAAGATCTTGCCAAAGCTATACTTTTTTCTTAGAAATTGTTAATGCTGGTTTTTCCATTTCAAAATAAATGCTAATTAATATAAATAATTCGCCGTCAATTTTTTCTTCTCTAGCATCTATTATTTCTTTTATATTAAAAAAATAAGGCATAGCACATGTTTACATTCATATATGAAGGAATATATCTTTAAAAATTCCAGGAGGAGTTGGTCATTTTTCCCTACTGACTCCACAGCCTTTTTTTGTAATCCAAGATAATTTCAGGTATACTGGTGTCATTATCAATATTTGGTGTGTCATGCATTGTTAAAAGCAGTATAATAACTGTTTTTGCAAGGAACATGTGTATCTTTTTGAAAGCCTGCTCGATCTAACCATCCTTTTTTTACATGGCAAAAACTCTGGTAGAATTTCTCTTTTTTTCTTTTTCAGGGTTCCTACAAATGCCAGCTTTTTTTTTGTGGTAGCGAGTGGAATATTTCTGTCATAATTGTCTAGTTACATTTCTGCATTAATTTTCAACCAGTCATTTTACAATATGTAGTGGAGAACATTTTTATTCCGTATTTTGAAGGTTTATTGGAGATATATTAAATAAACTGGCAACGACCACAAAAGATGCTACATTTCATCTGTTATAGCAAATTTATTCATACTATAGCAGTCATAGTCAAAAATTGTTCATATAGCTGCTAGTTTATCTATCTTAAACATGTTTTTTTAAATTAAAGACATCGGGTTAGAAATAACTTGTGACTGCCCTTGCAATTTGCACTCCTGTGTCATCGTTTGTAAATAACTCCTTGGCATTGGCATGATGCATTTTTTTACTCCTATCAAATACAATAATCCAAAATATGCCATCATTTCACATCTTGTATTATCCTGGCAATCTCTGTCTCTCGAGTAATCATGTTTCTCTCTAAGAAGAATTATATATTGGTTTATACACTTCAGGATTTCATCAATCATACTTGCACCTATCATCTTCATAAAAGGTCTGATTTCATCATCTGTATCTTTTGCAAAACTTTTTATACCAGGAAGAACTTTCACAGTGTTCAACTTTTTAATTTTGGATAACTTGGCATATTGCATTTTACATCATCTAGTAATTTTGTCTTTGCCAATATAAAGTCTTCATCTTCAGTTGATTCTTCTTCATTGTCTTCAGACATAGATTGCTCAGATTCACTGCTGATACAATTTATTTTGATATTTTCCTCACGAAGTTTGCTGTCATTGTTCAAAAACGCTTCCGCATCAGTCCTTTCATTTTCTTTGTCAGACAATTCTTGAAGAATAAGGAGGATATCTTTCCATTTTACCAGTTTTGAGGACATATTGCCAAAAATATAGAAAATACATAATTTTAAACTTTGTACAATAAAATAGTAATTCGGTATAATGTGCATAAAAATTTAAAAGACAAAAAAAGAATAATTATTACATCTACTAGAAAGAGTGGGCGCGCATCCTAAATTTTACGAGTGAAATACGATACTGCATAAAACTTAGGCAAACACTGAAACTTGACCTTTGAAACAAGATAAACCCATTTAATCCCAAAGAGATGGAACACGTAGAGGAATAGCAGTGATCTACAGATATTTTCTATGCTGTACATAACTGTTAAGATATAGTGCATCAGTCATAAAATTTGGGCATATTCGCCTGCTGGAAGGTTAAAAGAAACATCCTTAAAAGTATTTGTGTGTTGCTGCCCGTCTGCTGCAAGACGACCACCCGACAGAATGTTTGCAGTTGTGTATTGCCACAAAAACAAAACTCTAACCCATTATCTTACATCTTGAAAAATATTTTTTTTCCCCCCTATCTTGAAGCATTGTGATAAATTGGCAATAAATGCATTTTGATACTTACTTCAAGTGAAATACTCCTTATAACTTTTTTTTTTTAACATTTTTGCCTTTCCCATGATCAGATTTGGCAAAACAATGGCAGTAAACTTTCATCTGTCTTCCACAATAGTAAGTGACTGCAGTTATACATATTGGCAAGAATAGTTCTCTAGTTACGCCTTTCTGACCTGCTCCCATTCACCTTCATAAAAATATTTAATGTTTTTAATTAGATATATTATAAATTGCATTTTTATGTGAATAGGCTGATTGTATGAATATTTTCATAATGTTTCCTTTGTGATACATGAAGGCTAGACTTGCTTTTATGGAACTTAATAGATAATTAAGAATTAAAAATCCAAAATGCTCTGTAATTTCAAAGAGAGAATTAAGAGGAAATCAAGTATGATTTTACAGTAAACTCTCCAAAACAAACTCGTTACTGTATGACCCATTATTTGTTATTTATTAAGAACTATTTTTATATTGATTCCCATTTTTTTCTTTTGTAGTTAAATGATACTGGAAAGGAAGAAGCAAAACAGAAATTACAGAAGGTTGGTAAATTCATTTATTAATTACACATGTGTAAGTGTTTCTATAAATTTTTGTATAACTTAACAAATCTAATGAGAAGCTATTCTGTCCAGTTTAGTTCAGACTATGATGCTGTTGATCTTAAATATAGTTAAATATAGGCAATCCTGAGTAAACCTGAATATTTTTTTAAAAAATTAAAAACCTATGATTATGAAATAATGAAATCAAAAACTGCTGTTCACATTATTTCAAATAGTTGCTATTTAAAGGTTAATGTATTTTAGGAGACTGATTAGAATTTGATTAGAAAACTGAAAGTCCATGCCAAAAGTCCCAAGGTGTGCAATTTTTTTTTCCAAGTTTTGTGAATTTCGTATTATAAAAAAAAGATTGGTACTTTTCCCGTTTTGCCGGTGCAAATGATAAAGTCGCCAATAATGGTACAACTGATACCAAACGGAATATTTACGCTGGTAACCTTTTACCCTTCATTTTCAAAACAAGTCGCAGCCATTTCTTATCAGATTGATTGTTTCTTTCAATACTGGTACAATTATATAGAATTTTTAACCAGATAGTTCAATTTTATGCCCCAAGGCCATTTGAGGTAAGTAAGTAAATTAGAATGTAATCACACCGCTCATCCGAAGGCAAAAATATGGAAAAGGCAAAGTCAAGGGTTAAATTCATTAATTCTAATTGAGAATGCACTAGCGAAGTAAAGCACTGCAGTTTTACATAATTTCTGAATAAAAGCTGTTCTACGAATTGAAGTAATTCTTGCATTTAAACTTGTATTCTAAATTAAGAGTTAACTTGAAATTAATGTAATTAGAGAGAATTGAATTTTTGTAGCGTAGTCTACGTGAGATATCACTTGGGGTCACATGATATGAACCAGCGAATCAGGGTGTTTCAACCGTGAAAGCATAGTAAATTCTTAAATTAATATCTTTTTACTTTTTACAAATTTATTGGCTTTTTACAAAATTTTACCATGTTAAAATGTTTATGCCTTCAAAATAAAAAATTCTTAAAACTAACATTTGTTAACATTTTTTATGTGTATACTGTATGCTGCCGCCAACAAAGTCTGCGTGGCGAGATTTGCGCCAGCGAAACGGAAGAGTACCGAAAGATTATTATATTTTAAAAAGCTAGAACAAATTGAAAAATGTGAAAGCAATAAATTTCTTGTTGGCAATTTTACAAAGAAAATGCATAAAGTAAATCATTTTGTAATGAAATATATAATTTTATATTAAAAAAAGGTATTTACATATTATCCTGTCAATCCAAAACTGATGCCAGATAATGTGGTTTAGCATCAGTTGTAGATAAGCATATCATGTTCTGCACTTCGTGAACAGTGTTATAAATTAACTATTACTGCTGTATTTTTTCTTGCGTTTTCAAAGGAAAAAAGTAAGATTTCTGTAGAATCAATCTGTGAGTGCAGTTTACTAGCTTTACAGCGGGAGAAAGAACATTTGCTGAATATGGTGGACTAAACAGTAATAGATTGGAACAATCAACTTGCGAGATGTTTGTGCTTGTAGCCTTCTAAACAGAGTATTGGTATTTTACGTTCTTAGGTTGCGTGTATCTTTCTCACTGTAAAGTCAGCACTCAACTAATCCAGATATAATTATTATTTTATTACAGGCCCATCTTATTTTGGCAAATGCATGATAAAACACACCAGCATCAATTCTCCAGTTCCATGTGCTACCATTTCCACAACAAGAACAGGAGACAATACGTCACACAGCTTGTTCACAGATAAAGTTTATACTGAATACATACAATTAAATATAAAATGTGTTTAAAATTATAAAAATTATGAATTAAATCTTAAAAATTATATACTATTATTTAAATGTTAATTTTACTCCTGAACCTTTTTTATACATTATGTACATCTTATTTTTAAACTTAGCATGTGCTATTGTTAAGCCTAATTTAGGGACTAAAAATGCCGTTGGCTGGTGCTGCCATCTGTTGAGGGATTTTAAACTGTTTGTTGTTCCAACATTACTCTCTTACCAGTAACATTAGTTATGATACAATGAAGCGTGACGTTCTTAATACAATCAATAGTTATGATTTTGGACACTGAAGTTAATTTTCATATTAATATAGAGCAGATATTTATCAGGTCAAATAGTTATTCCTGGAATTTTAAAACAATGGATTCAACTAATCAAAATTATATTAAGTAAACTGACCTTTGCTCTAAATCTTAAAAAAAAAAAAGCAAAAATAATTTATCACTGAAATTTATGTACAAGGTAACATAATTGCATGGGCCTGATTTAGTACTCTAAAATATATACAAGCATTAATCCTGAAATCTGACAGGCTTTTTGATTTCTCTACCTGTCGTGTAGTAGGTTTGGTGTTGGATGCAGTATCAAAAGATTTGTCACTAGAAATCTCAGTTTGTTGTTTATGCTCAATCACTGTTTCTGGTATTTTGTCCAAAACTGACAGATAAGCTGGTTTCAATCTGTCAACTGAGAAATACTTGTAACACATTTCTGCACCATGAAAAAGGGTCCTTCATATGGTGGCTGAAGTGCCTTTTTCACACGATCAAGTCTCACAAACACATGAGAACATGATTCTAAATCTTTATTCATAAATATTGTTTGTTAGTAACTGGTGATTTAGCTGGTAAGCTGGTCCATAAAATGTTGTAACTTTGTTACAAAAAATGATTCTGGTTCAACTCTTATGGTAGGCTGATTGAAAAACTCGCCTGGTAACTTTATGTGCATACCATATACCAGGGGTGGCCAAAGTGCGGCTCGCGACCCTGATACAGCTCTCTCAGGCAATTTGTGCGGCTCATGCATGTAAAATATATGTATGAAATATGGTAAACTAAAACTTTTCAGTGTCAAAGGAAATAATTAATTAGTTTAGACTCATTTTACAAAGTTATCAGGGATTTCTTTCTATTTAAAACCTCCACTACTTGTATAATGATGTAAATATGAACTTGTGGCTTTTAGAAAATCTAGATGCGGCTCTCAAACATTCCTGAATGCAAACGTGCGGCTTTTACTGACATGAAGTTTGGCCAACCCTGCCATATATCATTTGGGCTAGTGAATGATTAGTATCAGGATGTATTGCAGCTCTTTATCCTAGAAAGATAGTGGGTAAGATTTCTGTCCATCTAATGTTGCTATGAGCCTTTATTGCAGTTTTTAAAGTTCTGTGAAATCGCTCCACTTTACCTTTGCACTGTAGGTGGTATGGAGTCGTATGCAAAACTTTAGCACCACATATTTTTGCAAAGTTTCTGAACAGCTAAGATTCAAATTGTTTTTCTTGATCTGAGATTATAGAACCAGGCATATCAAATCTACTATTCCAATGTTTGTAAAATGCTTTGGCTACCATTTATACTGTGCTGTCTGATAAGGGAACTACTTCTGTCTAACAGGAAAAATGGTCACTGCATGTCAGATATCTTCCCTTCGGATGGTGGTAATGGACCAATCAGGTCAGCATGCACAACACTGAATCTAGCATCAAGTACTTGAAACTCAGTGAATTTTGACTTTTTATGTCTGTTGACTTTGCTCTTTTGACAATTAACACAAGTCTTGGTTCACTCACGAACTTCTTTCTCCATATTGGGCCAGATAAACTTGTCAGTCATCTGTTTTACAGTTGTTCTGATACCTGGGTGAGCGAAATTATGAAATTGATGAAACATTTGCTGTCTGAATTATTCTGGAATAAAAGGTCTGATCCTGGTTGTTCAGCTGTCACACCATAATGTTTTCCCAAATGGCAATGTACATGATTTAAATTTAAAAGATGTACTACCTGTTCTTATTGTTGCAATTTTTCATTCTTTTCTTGGACATCTGCTGTTGCATTATAATCAATGACTGAGACTTCTATTCGTGGCAAAGCATTTGCAGCTAAATTTTCTTTACCTGTTCTTATTGTTGCAATTTTTCATTCTTTTCTTGGACATCTGCTGTTGCATTATGATCAATGACTGAGACTTCTATTCGTGGCAAAGCATTTGCAGCTAAATTTTCTTTGCCATCAATATGTTGAATATCAGTTGAAAATTCAGATATATATTGAAGTTGACATTGTTGCCATGGCCATGCTTTCTCATTCTTTTGTTTGTATGTATATACCAAGGGCTTTTTATCAGTAAATATGATTCCTTCCAAAAGGTGTTTAAAATGCTTGATAGAAAGATATATCGCTAGCAATGCTCGGTCATAGGTATTATAAGCTCTCTCTGCAGCAATGAGTTTCTTGGAGTAGAATGAAATTGGTTTCCAATCTTGATCTTCCAACTTTTGCAATTCTGATCCTATAGCAAAGTCTGATGCATCTATACACAAAGATAAGGGCAATCAAGGTTTTGGAAAACACAGAAGAGCAGCATTGGCTAAATCAGATTTGCAATTATCGAATTGGCAAATTCCTTCGTCTGTCCATGGAACTTTACAACGATCTTTGTTTTTGGCGCCCTTTAACATTTTGTGTAGGACTGCTTGAGTTTCTGTGGCATTCTTCAAGTAGCAGCGATAAAAGTTGGTCATACCCAGGAATGTACGAAGCTCATGTATTGTTATGGGTAATTTATAATTGCAAATTACTTGAACTTTTTCTGACAGTGGACGAAAACCTTCTGCAGTTATGAGGTAACCCAAATATTCAACTTGAGCAACTCTCATGTCTGATTTTGCTATGTTAATACAAAGTCCATACTGCTGCAATCGGTCAAAAACCAATTTTTATTGCAACTTATGCTCTTCCTCTGATGCAGAGGTGATTAAGATATCATCCAGGTACGAAAATACAAAATCCAATCCACATAATAACTCTGTAATGAAATATTGGAAAGTAGATTGAGCATTACGGAGTCCAAAACTCATCACATTAAACTCATAGAGACCGAAAGGTGTTATAGCAGTCTTGGGTTTGTCCTCTTTGGCAATGGGAATCTGGTAATATGCTTTACTAAATCAATTTT